AGAGCAGGGAGCAGAACAGGCAGATCCACGAAGTACACTGCTGAGGGGAGCAGCGGGCGGGTCAGGAGAGGTCTGCCACGCCATGTGGTCACCTCCGGGACAGGCGGGGATGGAACTCATGTGGAAGTGGCTTCAGCCTCTTAGTGCAGTGCTTTAACCCGCTGCGCCACCAGGGAGGGCCAACAACAGAGTAATTTTTTTGAGAACACATAGAACTCTGCTCCCTTTCCAATTCCTGCCACACTTTCTCCCATCATCCCCAAACTCTAAGTCCCCCTTCAGGACCCTGCTCTTATGGTCACTTCCCTTAGGAGTTTTCTCTGACCTCCTCCACTCCCCACTCCAACCTAAGTGCCACACCTGCAGTCTTCTTCTTCACTTCCAAAATACAGGCACTTACCTTCCATATATTTATACACATCCTTCACTATTTATTAGCCTTGGAGCTTCTTGAGAGTAAGATCATATTTCACTGCTTCTTCCAGTTCCAGCACCCAGGTCTATGGTATTTATTCTCTGTACATGTTATTTGACGAATGAATGTATGAATATATGTGTAGATGATAGAGTCACAGATGAGCCCAAACTCGAGGAAGAAGAGAGTGCCAGCATGAATAACTACAAAATGAAAAAAAAAATCAACTTATGGAAAAATGATAATTAGCCATGTTTAGCCAATGCTAAATTTTTTGTTTTATTTTGGGAAAGCGTTTGTTTTTTTTTAAACAAAATTAAGGTTAAAATTTAATGCCAGTTAGTATCAAAGGAACATGGTGTGCATTGACTAAAGAGTGGAAATTTTCCATTTTCGGCCTCCTTCTTGTTGTTATAAAATGAGAGATTGTATCTGGCCCAAGATTTTGTCAAAAGGCCAGTCTGGATCTCAGATGCTGGAGCTCAGGACAGCTGTGAATTCTGCAGGCACAGTTCTTCCAAGTCATCCCAGCCCTATTCTGATCATAAAGACACTGTGCTCTTTTCAAACTTACAGACCACGCTCTTACCTACTGTGGTGTGCCACAGCTAAGTTTAGTTCCACTCACCTGGTCGAAAATAGTCAGCTAAACCACAGCGGAAATTAGTCCCCACAGCTTATTTCCTAGATCTATGTAAGGAAGATGCTTCCAGCTCCTAATGCTGTATTAACATGTCCCAGCTCCTTCCTGGGTTGGTTGGGATCACCCTTTGCCTGCATACATTTTGCAATAGCAGTTGGCTCTTCCTGTGCCCACTCTCCTAGCACACTTGCTACACTTGAGAAACCTAGCCAGGATTTGACTGACTAAATCTTCAATCTACTCATCAGCTAATAAAAGGGAGGTTAGAGTTGGCAAAAGTAAGAATGCAGAGAAACTGTATTTGCCAACAGCTTAACCAACAGATGATTTCACAGGTGGTCCTTTATCAGATTGGCCAGTGAAGACAAAGAAGAGGACTAATGATCACTTTTCTGATGCAAAGACTGTCTGGGGAAGCTTTGTATTGAGCTGAAGATTTGTACTGGATTATTGTAACCCACTAGTGTTCAGTGTTTTACATCTCTAGTAAAATTAGAAGTTGTTCCTAAAGGAATTCTCAAACAACATATTCAACATAACGAATCTTGGTAACGCTAAATATATCCAATGTGACCTTTGCTTGGAGATGATGTCCTTCCTGTAGTTTGTTATTAACTGCTGTTAAAGAGTATGCTTTTAGATAAAAGCATGATAACAGAGGATGATAGGGAACGTTTATTTTTATGCCTTCAGTTGGCATTTTAAAAAGCTGATAACTCCATATCAGTTTCCAAAGTTCATTAAAATCAGAAAATTTTGTCTAGTTGCTGATCTTATTGCTGAAAGCAAAGATTATATACAGGACTCTGTATGTATATTCAGGTTGATTTCACATGGGTGGAGGGGCTTCTGGCATCTTCTAAGCATCTTCTAAGCATCGGACCTCAAGGTGTATCAGAGATCATGGATGACCCGCACATACAGGAAGTTATAGTACAGATTCAAGTCAGGCAATGTCCTCCAGAAACACCTTGAGAACGCCTCAACCAGAACCGTGGTACTCTGTGACACAGACAGCGTTCCTTTCCCGCCCCTGACCCTATACAAAAGATTTTTATTGTATTCCTTTCACACTAACATTTGCACCAGGACTGGCATAAAACAAGTGTTTGGTAATTATTTGTTTCTAATACTATCATAGGATCTGGAACTACCAATCCTGAGAAGATTCCACCTAAAGCAGAGGGAAACATGCTTAGCATTCTCTTCTGGAGTCCTGCGTGAGACTGGAAAGTAAGGGTTATCTGTGAACTCCTTCTAACATGTAAAATGAAGGCAGAGCTGCGGGATGGCGTGAAAGCAACTAAGTGCCTCTGTAGGAAGACTTTGCCTTGCTAACACTTTGCCTAGGAAGAGGGAAATTTGCAAATCATCTAAGTTCAACCTCTTGCCCTAAGGGATGGATGCTCTTCTGTAGGAAAAAGTCTCTGCCCCTGGCGCCTGTCCCTGGGCTTCTGATGAAACAGTGACCCTCAGCCCTCTTTCAGAGCCTGGACTGAAGCCGTATCACCCTGGGCTTGCTCACCCTGGGCTTGCAGCCCATCACGTGGCAGAGCGGTGTGCTCGAACACCAAGGATCCAAGGCCATTGGTAGACTGGTGTCCCTGCTCGCCCATTGGCTGCGGAGGGGGTGAAAGGGGCTGAGGGATGGCATCCCAAGTGGGGAGAGCTGACACGAAAGTTAAAGGGAGCAACGCAGCCGAGGACCCAGTCTTGGGTGACAGGTCCCAGAGAGGAGGTGAAGTGGAGGCTCCCACCCGCAGATGGAGGCGGCTCCCCACTGAGGGAAGGGACCTGAGTGCCGGCCCCCACTTCGTGCCTGCTGCTGCCCCTGCCACCCAGACACTGATGCTGCCTCGGGCTGAACCTCTGCACCTCTGGGTGCTGTGCCAGGTACGTCTCTCCCCAAGCCCTCGAGTCTGAGTGCCAGGCTGGGCAAGTGGCTGCGAGGAGCGAGCACATAGTGGATGCCCTCTGTGGTTCCCCCCATCTGTACGCTCTCTGTCCCGTGCACCAGCAAGCAACTGCTTCCACATGGAGAGTGCAATTCAGGGCCAAGAGGTGTAATGGAGCCGGGCCAGATCCACGTGCGTTTCCTGCGGGAGGAGACTGGGGTGGGGCGGTGTGGAGGGACTGGGAACTACAAATACCCTTGCCCCCCTACTGCTCTGGATTGGAAACAAGTATCCGGCGTGTATGTACTGGGATCGACACTTCTGGAGGGTGTCTCCGGAGTTGGGAGGTGAGGTCTGGAGCTAGAGGAAACAAGTTAAGACTCCCTACATCTCTCTCTCGGCGTCGGCCTCCCTGGAAAACACAAGGAAACACACTGGTCGATCACACAGGCAGCCAAGGCAAAAGAGTTTGGAGCGCTGCGGCGGCCGCGGCCTCCCGGAGGCCAAGCGCCTCTGTCGCCGACCCTGTCTATAGACAAGACGTCCCGGGCTGGCAAAGGCCAGGCTGCCGCTCAGGGGCGCTGGCGCGGCGCCGCTCTGGCCTGGGTAACCCCGCCGGGCCCCGCCCCAGTGTGATAACTTGGGCTCCTCCTCCTCGTCGTCTTCCTCCCCCACGCCGGTCACAACTCCGGGAACCCAGCGCAAGCCCTGCCTCCCGGACACACAGACGCTCACGTAGTTCGGTGGTGGTAACCTTCCCTGCCTCCTCCTGCCGAGCTCTCCGATGCAGACAGCGAGCTGGGGAGGGGGCTTCACCGAAGCCCTGAAGGTGGGTGCCTGAAAGGTGGAGATTCTAGGTGGGGTTGGGGAAGGAGTGCAGTCCGGGAAGACTGGACTGAAGGGGTCAGGGTCAGAGTAACCTGTGGCATCTTCCAGCCTGGACACTCTGTCCTGCCCCCTCCCTGTGCCCTTTTCATGCCACCCTTTTGAACCCAGAGAAGGGGGATGTGGAAGGAATAAGCTGCAAAAGAGGAAGTAGCGGGTGCACAAGGACTTAATGGAAGATTTTGGGGCCTGTCAGGCTATTGTTTCCTGCAGAAGGAAAACTGAGGAAAGACAAGTTGTGAGAACTTGGAGAGCTGCTGAATGCAACTCTAAGGTCTAGGGTCTTAGGGTTTTGAGCTGCGTGCAAAGAAGAGGAAATAGTTCATTCTGCAGAATTATGGAAAGACAGCAGAGGACTTACCTCAAAAGTGGAATTGACGTATTTAGGGGAAAGTTAGTGGGAAGAGAACCGTGAGGCCGAGAATGTCCGAGTTAGAAGGGACCTCAGAGGAGAAAGTTCAAGTGCAGAGAGGTTAAGTGATTTGTCTTGAGCGACACAGCTAGGTGGGGTGTGGGGGCATTTCTGGGCCACTTCTGTTTCATGTTGGTCATATTTAGATGGCAGGGAATATTCTATTTTAATTGGTCTTTTTCCTTTAATGTACAGCCTCATCCACAGGTATTCACCTCAAGGGTACCTGATGAAGGTGCCGGACAGAGGAGTACAAGTGACTTTTAAGGCTGTGAATAGGGACGCCAGCTCTGAGTACAAAAGGCAAGACGTCAACTCTGTTCATACTGTGTCAGCTAAACCTGTTGGGAGGGAATAAAGAAATGACATGTCTTTAAAAAATTATAACCTGGCTGTGAAAGTGTGTCTAATGTAGTTGTAGTTCAGTATAGCTGCTGGTAGAGTTTTAGTGAGCGGAGGGAAAAATGTCTTAGATGTCTTAGCATCAGTACCGCCCCCCCAAAAAAAATCCTTATAAAAGACATAGCCAGAAAGTCAGTAGCTCAGCTGTCTGAAATATACTTTCTGTTTGGTTTTCACAAGAAAAATCATCATGGTGTCTATCCTGGCCAGCTGTCTTAAGAAAGGATGTTACCTATTGGTGGTGGAATAGAGGAAGCATTTATACAAACATCATATTCTTGCCAGTTCTCTGGGGTCTTATGGTTTGTCCTCTTTCAATCTGGAACACTATACTTTTGGGCATGATCTGGCAAAATTGATCTCTTGGGCACCCATTTGGAAGCAAAGTTTTTGAGAATCCATGTGGACAGCTATTCATACTCATGTCCTGTAGTCCACTGATATCCAAGTCATACACCAGTCTTTGCATTTCAGTGTGTGTCCCTGTCTTCTCATTTTGGTTTTTTTTTTTTTTTTTTTTTTTAAGATTTATTTATGTATACAGAACTGGGATACAGGCCAGAGGCGCAGGGGCGGTGAGAGGATTCACCAGAGACAGAGTGGGGAGCAGAACAGGCAGATCAACGAAGTACACTGCTGAGGAGAGCAGCAGGCGGGTCAGGAGAGGTCTGCCACACCATGTGGTCACCTCCAGGGCCAGGGATCGAACTCACACTGAAGCAGCTGGGGCTCACTTGTAGTGCTGTGCTTTAGCACACTGCGCCACCAGGGAAGGCCTCATTCTGTTTTTTTCCTGGCCAACCTGACATGTATTCCCTAGCCTGGGAGAGGGGAAGGGCTGTAGCAGCAGGAAAGTCTGTGTAAGAAAGCAAGCTTGTTGGAATTACCATTTGTGGACAAAACACCTGTTCAGGGACTTCCTTTCAGGGACTTAAGAATCTCTTACCTTGCATATCTAAGTTGCTAAGAATGATTCTGGGTAAAAGGCATTCCTGTCACAGTCCCCTGGGGAATTCCTCAGCAGAAGATGAAGAAGGTCTACACCAAAATAGCACGTTAGAGGTGCACTGATTCTAGGGAAAAGGTCTGTTTAATAACCTGTAAGGCTAGGCAGGGGGGCTAACAAGTCATACCCTAGAGTGAGGCCACAGGGGTTAATGTCCCCAAGTGAAGGGATCCTGAGCAGGGGGTGCTTATGCAATGCCACTGGGGCAGTAGCCCTGGTAGTAATGCTTGGGTCATCAGGCAGTTAACCTTACTTTTGCCTTTTACGGAATAATATTGCAAAACCAATCAGGCTATAGAAAGTGCCCATGGATTTGTTTCGTTACTTTGGCTCTAACTAGAACCTCTCCTTCCCTCCCCAGTTGGATGTGTTCTTACAGCTGGGTGATAAAAGAAATCTCAAGGGCAAATATATACAGTGGGCGCCCAACAGTGAAATTTTATCAAGGTCTTCAGCTAAGTCATTTTAACCTGCAGGATTAGAATTTGAAAAGTGACTTTAGTAACTGCAAATGTGCAGATTCTTGAAGCAAAGGGATCCCTTTGCTTCAGAATTGTTTCCACAATATCTTGAAAGTTTCCCAACCATTTTTTAATGAACTGTTTGAAAGTTGTGCCAGAAAGCACGTATGTAGTTAGTTTGCAGACTCGCCGGATCTGCATAGAGAACTTGCAGTTGACCTTGTGCTGACTCAGGCAAGGAGGAAGCAGCTGTGGTCAGAGGCATGCTCCTCCCTCAATTCTCGGCCAGGTTTTCAGGGTGGGTAGAGTGGAAGGGCTGGATGCAAAGCCTTGTCTGCTGTTCCGTTGGTTTTTATCCTGCACTTACTGAAAACAAAGCAGCTGACAGTGTATAAGTTAGAACTGAAGGTATAAAATATATTCTACCCAAGTTTTGCAATGGACAGGGGTAAAGTGAAATTCAAGTAATTTGTGAGTACAGGTTTTACACTGATTCTTTAATCTGCTCACTGATTAATCTGCTTACTATCTTACCCAGTTCAGTCATAACTTTCCTTTCCAGAATAATTGTGTGGCTGGCTATAAGGACAGATAATAGAAAGTCAATTTGTAACTAAAATTTTTCACGTGTTCAATATTCAATATCCATAAGACAAATATTTTTAATGAACACTTACTTATGTTTTATATACTATAAATTGTTTTATTTGTCTCTTAAATTTTTATGTTTCGCCAAGTCCTGGGGTTTTTTAATTTGCATTCTACAGAGTGATGTGTGTCTTTTGGAAAATGGGATCAAACCCAATATGTCTTTGTTGTTTTTTATTAAAAGAAAATAGATTTGGTTAATCAAATTCACAAGCTGAAAATGAAATATTGAACTGAGCAAATAGTTCAGCTCTTAACAGAAGATGAGCAAGTTTGCCTGTGCGTATCCTTAGCTATCAGGAGACCTGAGAGCAGGTAACCTAACATACCACCATTGATCTATCTATACCTTTATTTTAGTGAGAGGACTATATTTGGAAGCTGAGGCAGGTCTTTGTTTTCTGTGATTCTCAGACTAAATGTTAATCCTACTTTCAATATTAACTTCTTCAGTTAGTAAATCATAATAAAATGAGAATATAAATTTGCCACAGTCATTAGAATGATAAAAATTGCTAGACTTTCATGAAACAGTGTTGGATGTGCTTTTGGCAGATGTTAAAATATTTTTTTTTATGTTTGAT